CCAGAAGCCAGGTAGACAAAAAAAAATGAAGCAATTGTTCAATTATTTTTTTTTTTACTTTAAAATCTACAGATTTTATTAAATACCTTGCTCAGGCACTTCCTGTTATAGAAATACAACACTCTATATGCATCCTAGCTGATCTCCTTAGCTGTCAGCTCATCATGAGCTCATTCTGTGGAGACTGACACACTGCATGGGCAAATTCTCCTGTTGTCACCGTCAGGAAAGCCATCCTGAGAAATTATGTGCAGCAGTGTCCACAGTGCATGTATACAGGAAGAGGATCAGCAGCACTGAGATGTTACAAAGGATGAACCAAAAAAAAAATTAAAACCTTTTTTTTTTACTGTTAAACTTTTCTGGTTCAGAGTGCTTTAGCACAAAATTTTACATCTACTCTAAGCTGGCAGAAGATGCACCAACTACCTAATCCTGCTTCCTCAATAGGGCTGAACAGTCCCTCAGTCTCATGTCAATTTCTCCATCTTGATACAAGCCTATGAGTTTTCATACCAATTTAGCAGAAAAAAACAAAAAAACCTTTAAATATTTTTTTTCCCCATTTTTACTAGCACGCTAGGCAATTTGTAAACATTTCCATAAAACACTGTTTAGAAATCCAATAAAGAGCTGTCATTACAAGCTGTGCAATTATGTTCTGTAGTGACTCACTAATGCCTTCGTATTCCTGAAGGTAGTATTTTCATTATAACACATACAACAAACAACTTTATTTGCTACCATCCCCAGAGTGCACATCGCAAGCTTCCTACCTCCTGGCTTGTATACCACGTCATCTTCAGTGATGAAAGACGTGATTTCCCCATTGGTGGACCTCTCATAGCGGGACTTTTTCTTTGGCAGCTTTTTCTTGTTCTTTTTGGAAGCCTCCTCTGCTGTTGTGCCGCTGTTTTCATTGTCATCGTCCTCACTATGATCACTCTCAGCGTAGTTTTTGGCCCCACCTTCCAGTGTGCAGCTCCGCCGTGGACGAGAATTCTCGCCGTCACGGGTTTTATCTCGTTTTTCTCTCTCCCGGTCCCGGTCTCGATCCTTGTCTTTGTCCTTTTCTTTGTCGGCCGTCATGATTCGCCACGTGCCTTCTTCTGTCCTCTCACGGCTGGGCCTCCGTGAAAGGTAGACAGTGAGCCTGGGCTTCAGTCTTCTGAATTTATCACGCAATTCCAGGAAAAATTGGACCACTCCAACAACCCCAGCGCTTCAGAAAGCTCTGCACAAACAGAAGAGGAAAAAAGTAATAAATACCTTGTGAACAAGCCCTTAACATATAGCAACACATTACAGAAGAATCTTCAGGTTACAAGTGCTACATAATATTACTTTACACATGTATCCTAGTCAACAGCCTTGACTGAACAGAAAAAATGCTTTTACCCTCTACATTAAGGTCAGGAGGAAAACTCCACCATATTACCAGCTAACAGCCTTTCACAGTAAAAGTATACATAATGTTCATTTTTCACTAAAGACATGTTGCTAAATTAGCCAAGCATTCTAGAAACTGCTGTCATCAAAGTACATAGTCCTTAAAGAGCCTCAAACTGTGTGGATAAACATTAAGGCTACATTCGCACAGGGGACTAGCTCTGCTGCAAATGACAGCAGATGGAATCTTGATTCCTGTCACCTGTGAGCAGCTATGCATGACTGTCCACCCAGAATATTTCTGCTGCTGTCATTTGCACTGGTGCTAGTTGCCTGTGCGAATGCAGCCTAATTCAATAAAATGCTGCTCCATTCTATCCTACTGAGGAGTCACAAAGCATGCTAAAATGCAATGGGTTATATTGATAGCTCTCCCGTACTGGAAATCATTTTGGATTGCACCCCTATAAATAACTCAAGAAAAAGGAAAGCTGTCTTCTTCAATAAAGTGGACAACGATCTGAAATGACCTTGACAACCAGACCTTCCCTTTTATTTTTCACAAACGTTTTAAGACACATACTACTTCAAAACACACTTATAAAATTCAGTAATGTAAGCAGAACTGATTTGGAAGTGGGAAATGGTTATTATAGGCAACACTTTCCATAAAGAGACTGTCGCTATTCAAAAAAAATGTAACAAAGCTCCCTGCAAAAAGCAGCTTTTTATGTTATCAGGCACCTGGGTGCAAGGTTCCATCTTTATCTACAGCAAAATGCATAGGATACCTGGTCCCCCGCTGTGCTCGGAGATTCCACTGCCAGTCCCTACACCTCTACTGAGCTTTCTAGTGTTATAGGAGCCAGGGATGGACAAAAAGCACAACAGGAGGCACAGGCATTAGATAAAACTCAAAGTTTTGAATGCTATAGATCTTTCTGGAGGCCATAGCTCTACAACAGACCAAAGTTTGGGCTCACCGCCCTCCAGAGAAGTATACAAAGTCTTCTTTTGCATAAGCTTCGTTTATAATTTTGTTTGGATAGGAGCTGAGTAATGCAAGAGGCCCACTGTTAGAAATAAAGTTTACCGCCAATCCATTTTACAATATTTATCACTTATTGACATAATGCACGCAAATTTTTTCAGGCATAAAAAGGTCCACTACTTGGCTCAGAAATAGCAAATGAAAAACAAGGAAACCGATTATAAAAAAGTTAGGCTACTTTCATACTGATATCCGTCGCAAAAATGCACAGGCGTTTTTGCCATGCTTTCAGAGCAAGTTTAAAGGACACGTGACTTAAAAAACTGGACAAAAACCCTTCTCAGAGGCGTTTTTCAGGCGTTTTCCATTGATTTCAATGGAAAGAGGTGTTTTTGGGACTTTTTTTTTACTTTTCAAACATGCCCCAAACCACACCACACTGCAACGCCTCAGTGTGAAAACATACAGAGATCTACATTCACAGTGAAGCATTTTTCTTGAGCTTTTCTTTACCGCAAAAATGCTTCAAAAACTCCTCAGTGTGAAAGTAGCCTTACTCCCTAAAAACAGAAAACAGACAGTATCAAAGATCTCATTGCCCCTGTACATTGCGGCAAAGGATAAACTGTTGTCGTCCTCCAAGACTGCTCTTTGACAATGACAGGAGAAGCAAGTCCCTTCCAGGTCAAATGTAAGCAATCAAAACCCTAACAGCTCTTGGAGAAGGGCTTGTTTCAAGGTGATAGGGCTTTGATTGTAAAGTAAACTAAGCAAAATGTAAATTGGCAGCCAAACCACAGGCCTTTTCCTGGCTACAAATGGTAACACAAACATTTGCAATGATATTTTCACTTCCAATACAAAACACAGCTTCCTCTCCTGCCTTCCTGTTGAAAGTCAATGAAGCTAAACAGACACACAGACCTCCAGTTATCTTTCCTGGGAAGCTTTGCAATTTTTTTTTCTTCTTTCCCTCTTTACACCAAACATCAATATAGATATGACGCAATAACCTATCAGCAACAAGCTGACAAAGAAAAAAAAAAAAAAAAAAAAACGCACACACCGCATCTATCAAATCACAGACCACCTCAATCTGATCAGATTTCATTTCCCCCTCCCCATCTAGTTCTGGCATGTTTTGAAAATGATGAGCGGATCAGACAGAGTGACATCCTGAACAATACATCTATTTATATTTCCTAACACCCCACAAGCTGGAGCAGCCCCAGCAGAGCCGCAGAGAGGAGCTGCAGGGCCTGTGATGGGAAAAGAGCACAATCATTAAGCAGACACAGGATCTAGTATTAAGCACCTTATTAGGATTAAACCTCCGTGATCCTAGAGGAAATGCTGTGTGAATTAATCCTTTATTGCTTTCACAGATTCATATCTCCAGCAGACCCTGAACACTTTGTTCTCCCACAATGTCAGCTAACAGAGCCTGAACAGCGAACGGTGCCTGGGCCTGATTTCCCTTCCTATTGTCCTCATAGGGGAGATAAAATTGTTAACCGCTGTCATCTGTGCTGTGTGCCCTGCAATGTATCAACTCTCCTGCCAGCAAACAAAAACACTATGCAGGCAAAATACAGAGGGAGGAGGAGATGCCTCCGACCTCCTTCCTCTACAGTACCTCCAATATCAGTACAGCTTGTTTATTCACAAAGCTTCCTTTTTGTAAACTGAATTAAAATGGATTTTCACTGGCATGGCAATATTGGTATAGAGCTTCAGAATTTAACAGCAGGTTTGCTACAAAGGTTTTATTAAAGCCTGCAGCCTTAAGGTGTCTATTGATGGCCCTACAATTACAAGCAATGGTGCACTTTACCAATTAGGGTTGTAATCATCAAGCCATTTGGAACCTCTCAGGACACCATAAATTGGGCCTCAGGTAGTCGGTCACTTGTTAACCAGCTTGTTGGCCATTGTTCCTATAAGTCCTCTTCTTTGCAGCGGAGCAGCAGAGGGGATCAAACAACCATGTATGTAGAACTGTCAGGCAAGTGTTGCACAGGGTCCTGGCACTCAACAAAGACTTAACAGGCAGATAAAAAAAAAAAAAAAAATCTTTTTAGAGATATCTTCCTAGCTGGCCACAATGAGGTGGCAAATTGTCAGGGGGACAGCAATCTAGGTATTGCTCATTTAAAGTAGACCTTAAAGTAATTTAACAAGTTTGCAGGAATACATTTCTGACAAGCCATAATACACAGAAAAAGTACAATTTCTTTTTTATAAAAAGCCCCATGTTTGATCATTAACCGCTAGCCTACAGGGCACTTTCACTCCCTTCCTGCCCAGGCCAATCTCCAGCTTTCAGCACTGTCACACTTTGAATGACAATTGCGCAGTCATGCAACCACTGTACCCATATGAAATTTTTATAATTTTTTTGAGACAGATAGAGCTTTCTTTTGGTGGTATTTAATCACCTCTGAGATTTTTATTTTTTCTTAAACCAAAAACCACTGAAAAGTTTGAAAAAAAATGTTTTTTCTTAGTTTTTGTTATACAATTTTGTAAATAAGTGATTTTTCTACTTCACTGATCTGTGCTAATGAGGCTGCAGTGATGGGCACTGATAGGCTGCACTGATGGACACTGATAGGTGGCACTGATGAGGAGGCACTGGTAGGTTACACTGATGGGCACTGACAGGCATCACTGATGGGCACTGAAAGGCAGCATTGATACATGACACTGATATATGGCACTGATAGGCGGCACTGACTGGCACTGTTAGGCAGCACTGACTGGAACTGTCGCGCAGAACTGATAGGTGGCACTGACTGGCACTGATGGGTGACATTGAAAGGCAGCTCAGATGGGCACTGATATGTGGCATTGATGTGCACTGGTATGTGGCATTGATGTGGCACGGACTACTGGCACTGATGGACACTGACAGGTGGCACTTTTGGGGCCAAACTGATCATCAGGGCACACCGATCATCAGTGCCCTGATGACCAATGTACATGTCCCCTCCGCGGAAAAGCAGATTACCGGCTCTCCTCTCGAGCTGTCAGTGTGAGAGCTCGAGAGGAGAGAAATGCCGATAACCGGCATTTCCGTGTTTACATGTGATCAGCTGTGATTGGACACAGCTGATCACATGACCGAGCCGACATCTTCGGCTCTGTGACACGCTGTGTCCGAGGGACAAAGCGCACCGGCGATCGCCGCGCTGCGTGCTCCCTGAGCCGCGCATGCGCGGTGAGAATGGAAGGACGTCATATGACATCCTATCAGAACAAGAGAACCAACTTGCGCCCGTCATTGTACTATATGGTGGGCGGAAGGTGGTTAAAGACCTGTCCTTGAGCTCCGTTCATGTGATTTAGTCTAGAAAGAAATTAAATAATTCTGCTGCAGGAAAGAGGAAACATCCTTAAGCCCTGGTTCACATCTGTGCAGCCGCACCACCTGCACAGAGGAATGCGGACTCGTGGGCGGGTGCCATTAGTTCTAATGGCCCATCACACACACTTGAAAACACAACCGTACTGGAAACCGAAGTTCCCGTGCGGGCTGCGTTTTCCGAAGTGCAAGGACTTCTTCCCTGTGTGTCACAGAGCATGGGAGTCCATTCAAATGAATGGGCTCTCATGCCCACACAAAACGTGGACCGCACGGCCGCATATATGTGAACTAGGACTAAGCCCTGGTTCACACCAATGTGATTTGTAGTGCAGCTTGACAGTTCAAAATCGCATGACAAGTTGCACCCCACTTGCGGCAATACAAACATTCAAATAGTCATGACTTAAGTTGCAGTGACTTTGAAAAAGATTCCTGAACTACTTTTCTGCTATTTCATTGTGACTAGCATTGACCTCTGTTAAATGAAGTTGCAAGTCACAATAAAAATGACCATCCAAAATCTCACTGATCTGCAGTTTTGAAATCACGCTGAAGTAGCGCGATTCCAAAGCCGCACTGGTGTGAACCAGGGTTAAATCTTTTCAGCCCGAGTAATCAAACTGCAACATTGTAACTGTATCAGCGATTAGCCAAACACACAGCCACACACATAAAACTGCACAAGCACTAGGATTTCAGTACAGAAAGTTGGTGCTGACTAAAGACAGCAGCTGAACAAAGGTGGCTCCATACTTCTAGAAAGAAAAGAAACAGAGAGGCACTGCCAGGGTTCGTGTTCACTCTTTGAGCGGTATTAATTACCTGTAAGTGTTAAGATGGCCATACGTGTTACAATTTTGCACTTTCAGCACCGTAAAATTACTTTATTCCCCCCTCCATGCTAAACAAGGATGGACAAACCTGTAATGCCAGCTAGTGATGCCAACCAGGCCACCCACGTAGTTGTGTCTGTCTATACTCTTCCAGATTGCTTAGCATGAAAATCAATCAATGCCATTCAGTTAGGATTTACATGTACATCAATGGAGAATATCTTATCACAGGCAGATGGATGTACAGTGGGGCAAAAAAGAATAGAGTCAGCATCCAATTGTGCAAGTTCTCCCACTTTAAAAGATGAGAGAGGCCTGTAATTGGCATCATAGGTAGACCTCAACTATGAGAGACAAAATGAGAAAAAAATCCAGACAATCACATTGGCTAATTTGGAAAGAATTTATTTGCAAATTATGGTGGAAAATAGGTATTTGGTCAATATCAAAAGTTCATTTCAATACTTTGTTATATATCCTTTGTTGGCAATGACAGAGGTCAAACGTTTCCTGTAAGTCTTCACAAGGTTGGCACACACTGTTGCTGGTATGTTGGCCCATTCCTCCATACAGATCTCCTCTAGAGCAGTGATGTTTTGGGGCTGTCGCTGGGCAACACGGACTTTCAACTCCCTCCAAAGGTTTTCTATGGGGTTGAGATCTGGAGACTGGCTAGGCCACTCCAGGACCTTGAAATGCTTCTTACGAAGCCACTCCATTGCCCGGGCGGTACGTTTGGGATCTTTGTCATGTTGGAAGACCCAGCCACATTTCATCTTCAATGCCCTTGCTGATGGAAGGAGGTTTGCACTCAAAATCTCACGATACATGGCCCCATTCATTCTGTCCTGTACATGGATCAGTCATCCTGGTTCCTTTACGGAGAAACAGCCCCAAAGCATGATGTTGCCACCCCCATGCTTCACAGTAGGTATGGTGTTCTTTGGATGCAACTCAGCATTCTCTCTCCTCCAAACACGACGAGTTGTTTCTACCAAACAGTTCTATTTTGGTTTCATCTGACCATATGACATTCTCCCAATCCTCTTCTGGATCATCCAAATGCTCTCTAGCAAACTTCAGACGGGCCCAGACATGTACTGGCTTAAGCAGGGGGACACGTCTGGCACTGCAGGATCTGAGTCCCTGGCGGCGTAGTGTGTTACTGATGGTAGCCTTTGTTACGCTGGTCCCAGCTCTCTGCAGGTCATTCACTAGGTCCCCCCATATAGTCCTGGGATTTTTGCTCACCGTTCTTGTGATCATTTTGACCCCACGGGGTGAGATCTTGCGTGGAGCCCCAGATCGAGGGAGATTATCAGTGGTCTTGTATGTCTTCCATTTTCTAATTATTGCTCCCACAGTTGATTTGTTCACACCAAGCTGCTTGCCTATTGCAGATTCAGTCTTCCCAGGTCTACAATTTTGTTTCTGGTGTCCTTCGACAGCTCTTTGATCTTCACCATAGTGGAGTTTGGAGTGTGACTGTTTGAGGTTGTGGACAGGTGTCTTTTATACTGATAAGTTAAAACAGGTGTCATTGATACAGGTAATGAGTGCAGGACAGAGGAGCCTCTTAAAGAAGAAGGTACAGGTCTGTGAGAGCCAGAAATCTTGCTTGTTTGTAGGTGACCAAATACTTATTTTCCACCATAATTTGCAAATAAATTCTTTTTAAATCAGCCAATGTGATTGTCTGGATTTTTTTTTCTAATTTTGTCTCTCATAGTTGAGGTCTACCTATGATGCCAATTACAGGCCTCTCTCATCTTTTTAAGTGGGAGAACTTGCACAATTGGTGGCTGACTAAATACTTTTTTGCCCCACTGTAACAAAGAAGCATGGTACAGAGTTTAGCAATACTTCCACAGCGCTAGACAACAGGCAAGTAACAAGTGCATAAAGGCAAGTTTAATTTTGTTTACATTCTGCTCCTATCTTGTCTCACACAAATATCTAGCGACGACTTCATTTAAAGGCCAAATGACAAAAGCAGAAACCAAATGTGTAGTCAATTTGTCACATATGAAAGGTCGCAAAACACTGCATATATATATATATATATATATATATATATATATATACATATATATATATATATATATATATATATATATATATATATATATATATATACACATATATATATATATATATATATATATATATATATATATATATATATATATATATATATATATATACACACATATACATACATACACACACACATACATACATATACACACACACACACACACACACACAATAACAGTAACCTTTGCCCCATCTTCCTTCCCGAGAACACAGTGTATATTTTGAGGAATCCCAATAAGATCTATAATTGGTACAACAATACAGCTTCATCTAAACAGAGCAAAAATAACGTCCAACACCTATAATTTTCCTGCTGTTCTGAAAGAAAGCGGAAAACAGTAACTTCGGGGCATTGTAAGTGTCACAGATCTGGTCACTGAACCCAATGTGCCATATCTATGAAATTACAAGTAAATCAATTTAGCCTTCCCTGAACAAGCCTGGTGTTAAGCTCTGCTGTTTTGGGCAGGCATCCATCCAAAAAACCGCCTGGCTTTGGGATTTCAGCAAAGCTCTCTTCCCATCTGTACAACGTCTCAGTATAAAATGTTCCAGATACAGATCAGGCTGCACGTCAAGATCTCTCCCTCCCTCTTCAGCCCCTGACATTTTATCAAGCGGGATGAGCAAGTAAATAGGGTGAGCAAGAGCCCTCCGTCAAAAACAGACAGCGGGTAGAACTGTTGGGCTGAATCGATGGAAACAGCAATATTCAGGGATATTTTCCAGTGAAACAACAGTAATTTGCACTGCACCTTCTATTCAGACACCCTGGGGAAAGAACAGATACAATCGAAACCACCTAGACTGGCGTGACTGGCTAGGAATACATCAGACTAGCACAGCAAAGGGAGAAACACAAAGTAAATTACAAAACAAAAGACATATTCCATCTTAGCCAGCCCTGCTGTGAACATCAACAATAAGGATCAAGTGCTGCCATTACCTGAAGACCACCTGGAATCGAGGAAAGGAGAAGCCAGCATTTAAACATTCTCCTTCCACAAATATGATTAATAAAATGTAGCGTATTGCAAATGAGATGTTACAGAAAGCAGAAAAAACTGCATTCAGCTAAGGCACGCTGAGAACACTCAGCACTACCCTGGCACCTTCTGACACTGCATCATTGTACTACAAATACTTGGCATAAATCAAGCAATCAGGGCTCTGTCTTGTGCTGAAGGTAGACACGGGGATCTGTACAATCCTGCCTCCTTGCAGGAAAACTATGGCATATCTTCACTTGGCGCACATTAGCTTCAAACCACAAAGCCACTACAATATTTACCAAAAAAAAAAAAGTGGGAATTCCCCCCCCCCCCCCCCCAAAAAAAAATTTTAACTGCGACAATCATCTCACAACATGCTATTTCATCACCTCTTCAAACAAATCCTTTTCCTGTTCTCCTCAACAGGCACCTCATTGAAATTTACAGTGATCACTGGTTTGTATCTAGTATTTTGGGCGCTAAAGACAGGTGATATTCTTTTTACGTAAACACATATGGAGAGCATAATTTTAAAAACAAATAAAGTGTGTGCAGTACACGTGGTGATGCCTTTATAGTGTATCTAAAGCCAAAATTATTTTAATTTTTTTTTTTTTAGTTGTGCGTAGGGTAACGCTGCTGCCTGTGTCCCTGCTTGGGAGATTCATTTGATTTGTCTTGTGTCCACTATCACAGGTACTAAAAGAGAAAAAAAAAATAAAACTGAGAGGTCATCAGAATAAGTATCTCGATTGAAAGATTTCCCTCACCTCTTGTTCCAGTGAGAAGGGAAGCTGATGTTCCCGCAGCTTTCAGAATACCCATATGATTGGCTGAGCTCACTGTTCTGTTTGAAAACTGAA